ATATATATATATATATATATATATATATATATATATATATATATATATATATATATATATATATATATATATATATATATATATATATATATATATATATATATATATATATATATATATATATATATATGTGTGTGTGTGTGTGTGTGTGTATGTATGTATATGTGTGTGTGTGTATATATATATATATATGTATATGTGTGTGTGTATATATATATATATATGTGTGTGTGTGTGTGTGTGTGTGTGTATATATATATATATATATGGATTGACTCCAGAGAAATGATACTTTACAGTGAGATGACATGCTTTGGTCAGATGACGCAAAGCTCACCACACTGCACTACAAAGCTCACCAATGGACAATGCAAAGCTCACCTGAAATAAAGCAAAGCTCACCACTTTGAACCCCAAAACTCACTTTTTTTTTTAATTTTGAAAATTTAAAAATTAATAAAAACATAAAATAACAACACCGGTCAGCGGCGGCGATCAGCGGCGGCAACCGGCGACCGGCGGCAGCGGAGACCAGCGGCGGCCGGCGATCGGCAGCGATGGCAGGTGGCGGTCAATGCTAGAGTCAACGGTCAAATCTAGTCAGCACCCCTTCCTTTGATTTTATTTTTTCAAAAAAAATTCAAAGTGTTGAAAAAATATGGTGAGCTTTGCCTTACAGTTTGGTGAGCTTTTTAGTTGTGCTTGGTGAGTTTTGCAGTGAGCAGTGGTGAGCTTTGCGTCATCTGACCAAAGCATGTCATCTCACCGTAAAGTGTCATCTCACTGGAGTCAATCCCATATATATATATATATATATATATATATATATATATATATATATATATATATATATTATATATATATATATATATCATGGGGAACTACCTTTCACTTACCTAGGTGCTATTATGGTCAAAGCCAAATTAAGAAAACAGTAAGCTCCTGAATCACTTTGACAGATATCTAAACACTTGGTTTAGTACCACTCTTAACCCTATGGGAAGACTTGTACTAATCAAACATGTACTTTCCTCCATACCATTACATATCATAGCTGTCCACACCATCCCACAATCTATTATTCAGATCCTCCACAGAAAGAGGGCCAATTTCCTGTGTGGATTTAAGAATGGTAAACCTAAATACCATTGGAGCAAGTGGAGCAATATGTGTGGTCCTACTAATGAGGGAGGGCTTAACTTGAGAAACTTAAAAGAATTACAGGAAGCTTATTCCATCAAACTTTGGTGGAAAGTACAAACAGACAACACAAAGTGGGCCATGTTCATGAGAACTAAATATCTTAGACAGTCTGATTTTAAGGAAAGGATTTATGACTCAGAGAATCTGCAGAATTAATACCACTGCCAGGGAACATACTACAGGGGAAGGAGATCAAATCAGTTGGGGAGAGGGGGATTTCTCTCTTAAAAAAGCCTACAATATATGCGGAATGTCTAGGTCTACTCAACTCAATTACTCATACTGTTGGAATAAAACTCAAATCCCTAAGGTTAAATTCTTCTTTTGGAAAGCATTGAACTCTTACCTTCCTTTCTCTAAGAACCTTTAACACATGGGGTTTCACCTAGCCTCTATCTGCCACCTGTGCAAGAACAATGAAGAAACCATTGACCATGTTTTCCTTCAGTGTATTTGGAGCCTGAAACTGTGGCATTTCTTTGCTGAGGCAGTAGATGGACCAAGATCAAGACAAGAACTAACCCTAAACCAACATATCATGGAATGGAACCTATCCCACAGAAGAAGGACACTTAAAGGTCAACTACGCATCATTCTTCCAGGGATCATTGTATGGCACATTTGGAAGGAATACAATAGAATACCCCACGACAATGGTTCAATTAACATCAACAAGGTTCAATCTAATATTCTTCATACACTCAGAGATTGGAGCTGGAAAAACAGACGAAAAAAATGGATGCTAAAAGATAATAACCTTGCTGTCCTGGGTTTCAATTTCTTCTTTTTGTCTGGGAAAGACTTGAAAGGTCGAATTCCACCAATCATGATTGAACCAGAGAAGAATGGTGAGTGCTCATCTCCGAGGTCTATCGACTCAAGGGTCACCCCCCAAATTTACAAAAATTGCAAACGATGTGTTACATGCCTGATGAACAAAGCCATACTACCCTTCAGAATGATTTGATAGAAAAAATGGAGATACAACAGCAGTTAATTCCAACACTAAAATATTTTTTTAATTTTTAATTTAATAATATGTATTTTTATTTTTAATAAAAAGTGTCGTTGTTAACATTTTTATTTTAATTGTATGTAATAGGGGGATTTACCTAAATAGGATTAAAATATAATGACTTTCTCAATATATGACTATATGTTTTTATTTTCTAATGTAGAACAATTGGTTATTATCCATTAGTCATTATTGAAGTAAATGTCCACCATCACTAGACATTATTTCTTCCACTACATATTATTAAGTACGATTTAGAGAATAAAAAAGTTTAAGTCCTACTGATAAGTCCGTTTTGTACGCACTTATCTTCTCTATATTTAATGTGTTGTGGTCCAATTTTGGATTAAACAAATCAATTTCTCAATGGTTTTTATATCTTTTATTCATAATTGTAAAAGTGCACAAAAGTTATGTCTTGTTGTAAAAAGAATAAAAATTGAGTCAAAAGTGGTACAAAAAGATAAAAGATTGTGCAAATGGAATGCAACGGAGCAAAGGAGCAAAAGATGGCGAAAATCCATGAAGTGAAAAATGTGCATTCAAATGTGGCGATGGACCCCGTCAATAGATTTGAGGTCAAACGGATTGAAAAAGCACCAAAAAGAAATTGTTTTGAAAGAAAAATGTAAAAAAAGTTGATTTGATTCAAAAATAATTTGTTTGACCCAAATTGGTTCGGAATTTGAAGTTGACACAGAAGGAAAAGTTGTTCAGAATAAAATTTTGAGCAAGACTGTATTTTTAGAAAATATTTCCGGACCGGATTAAAATCCGGCCAACCAGGTGCTGCCACGTGGCGCAACCTGGCTGGCCGGCCAAGTGTGGCAGCAATGCAGCAGCAGGCCAGCAGCAAGTGTGTGGATCTCCATGAATTAAAGAAAAAAAAGAAAGAAAGATAGAAAGGAGTTAGTGGAGTGACGCATGAAGAAACAAAAGAAATATACTCCATAATCCTTTGATTTGCAAAACCAGCACATCAGCCGCACCTCCTCCCTTTTCAGCACAGGCGTGCGCCTGGACCTCAGG